TTTTCTGAAGCTTCCTGGATGTGGTTTGGCGTCTGACATTCATTTGGGGGAAATACTGTCGTTATTGTTTCAAATATTCCTTTCTTTCTTCTTGGAATACCATTATGTGTATGTTACACCTTTTGTGGTTGTTCCATAGTCATTGGATGTCTTGTCTGTTTTTTTCAGTCTTCATTCTTTTTGCTTTTCAGTTTTTGAGAATTCTATTGATCTATTCTCAAGCTCAGAGACTCTTTCCTCTGCCATATCCAATCTACTAATAAGCCTGTCAAAGTCATTCTTTTTGTTACAGTGTTGTTGTTTTTAATTTCTAGCATTTATTTTTGTTTTCATCTTAGTATTTCTATTTCTCTGCTTACATTGCCCCTCTGCTCTTTCATGATGTCTACTTTGTCCATTAGAGTCCTTGGCCTGTTACTCATAATTGTTTAAAATCCCCAGCCTGATAATTCCAAATACCCTGCCATGTCTGGTCTTGTGGTTTATCTTTTTCAATTGTATTTTGCCTTTTATATACCTTGTAATGTTTTGTTGACAGCTGGACATGAGGTATTAGGCAAAAAACAAAACAAACAAAACAAAAAACAAAAAAAACCCCAAAACAACCACAACAGAAAAAACTTTATATAGACCTTAGTAATGTGGTGGTGGGGTGTGGGGGAAGGAAAAGTGTTCCATAGTGCTATGATTATGTCTCAGTGTTTAAGTGTTTTAGATTTCAGGTGTGGAATATGAGGTCACATGTGGGGCTTATAGTTTTGAGGAAGACTATTGACAGCTGACTTCTGCCTTTCTCATAGCCCTTGTGATAGGAGCTATTTCTTGGTTGGCTACTATGGCTGAGTGTTTCACTGCATCTGGATTGATGCCTCTTAGTTTTCTTAAGTTTATTTCCTTTTCTTAAAGTTTATTTATTTATTTTGAGACAGAGAGTGTGAAGGAGGGACAGAGAGGGAGAGAGAGAGAGTCCATCCCAAGCAGGCTTCACACTGTCAGTGCAGAGCCCAACATGAGGCTTGAATTCACAAACCACGAGATCATGACCTGAGCCGAAACCAAAGTCGCTTAACTGACCGAGCTACCCAGGCGCTTCTTAAGTTTATTTCCTTTTGCCTCAGAGTAGCTGTTCTCCCCAGGTCTGACTTCTTAAAACTAACCCTCTTAGTCCCATTCCCCTTAGCTTCTCACCTTCAGACCATACATTACTATAAGGTAGCCTTTGAGTTTGCCCATACTTACCAATGCCATAGTTAAATCTTCATGATCATGCACAGAGTACTTCAGCATCCTAGCTTGACATTCTGATCATCATATATGATATATGTAGACATAGCTAATTACCTTCTTTACCCAAGTCTTGCCAGAGCTGGAAGGAGTCATCCTGGAAATCTTTATCTTCCTGACCTGAGTGATATGTTTGGTTTCCTCTTTGGTGTCCAGAGATTGCTGCATAACCCTTCTGAATATAAAATCCCCTTTATTACTGTTACTCCTGTGCTAGGGCAGACAATCATCATGGAGACTAAACTGGGGATTCAGGATATTTTTGCAGCTGAGCAGAGAGGACCATAATGGAACTTTTGAGTCTGGCAATTTTATCCTTTTTCTAAGCTCTCTCCAAGTTGCTGAGTTTCCCTCAACCCTGAATCAAGACTGTGAATTATGCATCCTCAAAAACAGCCCAGAGATCAGGAGAACAGCATCCCTGTACCAGACATATTTTACTGATTGTTTATGCATCTTGGGTTTGACACCTGAACTCTGACACTGACGGTTTGATTTCTATTTCTCCCTCTCCTAGTAAGTCATCATTGTGAACCCACTGTTTCTGTGATCTCCCATAATCTCTGTGTCCTTGCATCTCCCTTTTACCACTATCATAAAGTCCATGCCACTACAGAGGAGATTAAGGAAACAGGGACCGGCCACAGCCCGCAGAGGGATGCCAGACCTCTCTGTCTACAGTGACAGAGACAGTGGCAGAGGTGACCAGATGTGACCACAGGAGTCCCTCAATTCTGACACACACCTGGGATTCAGTTATACCCCTTTCTGGCAGAGAGATTCAGCTGGGTTCCTTCTGCTATGAAGCACCCAGGATATCACTTTAGGTGAGGAGCATTGAAGCCCAATCAGCTCATCCCTCACAGATATCCACTATAGTATGCCAATAACCACTATCTCTCCAGTTTTTGTCTGTTTTGTCAAGTTCCTGTGATTCCTGGTTGTTTTACATATTCATCTATTTATTTGTAATGTAATCATAGAGACATTTATTAAGCAAACATTACTGAGTACCAGTTAGATTCTGGCACTTCTGGAACTTGCCCTGGGACTGCTGCCCTAAGCAAGGCATAGTCCCTGCTCCTCAAGGACTGACACACTGATGGGTTTTCCAGTGCAAGGGAGTTAATGCCATGACACAGCAGTGAAATGATTTGATAGGAAAGAAACAGAGATATGCCATGCTGCCTTACAGAATTTGGGTATAGCTTCATGGATGATAGGTTGCTTGGACTGAATTTATATGAATAAATAGGAATTTACAACTTCATTTCTTTGCTAATTGTCCTCTGCTTCCTGGTCAGAGAGCTAAATATATCTTCACTTAGGTTCTTGGGAATAAAGTTCAGTCTGATTTTTCTCTAAGAATCACTGGGGGATCTCTTGTTGACCTCAGCAATTAGTTTTTAAAAAACAGCCCTAGGCTGTCCCTCCAGATTGACAAATCACACAACATAAAAAGGCAGATTGTACTCAGGCACCTGTGGGTCTGCTTCTCTCTCTTACCCACTGTATTTGGCTTTATCCTCCACTGCTCTGCTGACACTGCTCCTATCAAAATGATGGGTGGCCTTTCACAAGTGCACAGCTGTTCTCTGACTCCTCCAGTGAAAAATGAGATGTAGGCTAAAACCTGCAGTGGAACAGGTGTAGTTAAGACAAAGACTTAAGTTTCTTACAATGTAGAATGTTAAGCACTGAAATGTGAATTTTTGTTATTAACCTCTTCTGGAGGTCTGGATAAAAATATGTTAGTTACTCTTATTTGGATTTATAAGTGGACTTGAATCTGAAAGGAAAACAAAGACTGAGAGTTAAGTGCCCATCTGGCATTTCAGGTTTTGTAGCTGCCATGTTCAAAAGTTTGGAACAATACTGTAGTCCTCACTGGTTCATAAGAAAGATACTCAGAGTGATCTATAGATGAATAATCTGAAGGAGCTGAGTCTTTCATAACTCTTTTTATATATACATATACATGTGAACCTTTCCTTTTGGTAGAAAAATATAATTATTTTTTAGACTGTGTTTGTCTTTTAAGACAAACATTTTTGCAAACACATCCAATATCAAGTTTTTAATTTTAATGCCCAAGAAGTGAGTCACATTGGGAAAGTTAAACAGAACACTTATTTAATTGGTACTACTTGCTAATATGGGGGTTTCAGAAACACTGAATTACTTTGTGGTAAGAGATAGATATAGCAGAAATTTGAGATAAAGAAACAGATCCATGTGGACAAGTAAAAAGGAAAGAGGCCACTGATCTCATATTCAATAATCTTTTCTTATAAATGTTAATAATAATGCTAACTATAATTGATTTAAGATAATGTATATGAGTTAACCTTTGAAAACTTTGTATACTAGTTTGAAATGTGTGATTTTATTTCATGGATTAAATGGACTAAGGATTTTAACCTCAGAAGTGACAAGATGACATCTGCATGTTAGGAAAAACCCTCTGACTACAGAGTGGAGACTGGTTTGAAGGGTATGAAATCAAAGTCAAAGAGATCTAAGGAAATATTCCAGGTGATAAAAGTTACGAGTGTGCACTAGTCAGTGATACTGGGGTTGAGAAGAATGAGTGAATACTAAGGAGTTAAACATTTAGTCAGCAGGAACTGTGAAAAGGTAAAAGGGATGAGAGATAAGAATGAATAAGGACCATTTCAGGTTTCTGAAAGTAGAGTTAATTCAGTCTTGAATATGTTGCATGTGTGGTATAAATATTTAGTAAGCAAATGGAAAGTGAATTTGCATTTCAGAAAGGTATTTGACTTAGAAACCTAGATTTGGAAGATATTAGACTATATAAGTGGTTTAAATATTGTAAATGGATGAACTCAATCAGAGAAAATGTACAGAACTGAGAAGGGAGGAGAGGATGAAGCCCTGGAATCAATAACATATAATGGACAGATAGATGGAGAAGGTGTTGGGATGGAGGACATAGGAGGAACACAGTAGAGTGCTGTGTCGTGGAAACTGAGGGAAAATACTTAAAAAAAAATAACAGATTGATTTATTGTGTTC